TAATTAATAATTATAGGTATTATTAAATGATGCTAATGAAATTAAAAGTAATTCTGTCAAAAAACTTATTAAAAGTTTATAAATGTTGACAAATTAGTTCAAGTTTTTAAATCAGTTAAAACAGCAATAATTCTTCTTGAAAGTGCAAATGCAAATCTTGCAGATTGTTTTCTTCAGCTAATTTTATTAGCTAATGCTATTAAAAAGTTACCTATTCAAGGAATGCAAGAATTTCGATAACATAGTATTAATGCATTTGATAAATATTGGAAAAATTTTGATCCAAATATTTATATATTAGCAGCTTTTCGTGATTAGTAAATTTTAAAAATTAAATAATATAATAATAATTTAAAATAATAATAATTATTATTATTATTTATTTATAGTATATGGATTAAAGAAAAAATATTGGAAAATAATTACAACTACAGTAATATAATTTGGAAAAATAAAGGTGGTGATAAAAAAACTTGTGATCGTTTATTAGCACAAATACGTAATTATGAATTAAAAGTTGATCCTTATGATCAAGAGTTTGACAAATAAATTGAAACACCAATGAGTTAGTAGCTTTCAATAAAGGATAAATATAATTATCTTTGTAAATTAGCAATTATGATATTTTCTATTACCTTTCATAGTACAGGATGTGAAAGGATTTTTTCTACTCTTGGTTGGTTATATGGAAAAAGATGGCAACGTTTAGGACTTTTAAAAATTAAAGCAATGGCAAAAATTCGTTCTTTTTATATTTCAAATATAAAAAATAAGCTTGCTTATATTGGACATCAACATTCGGAAGATAAATTACATAAAATGATTGAAGATTTTTATAATTTGAGGAAGAGGAGGAGGAAGAAGAAGAAAATAACAATATAGCTTTAGAAATTCCAACCTATGAAGTTTGTGTTTTAATAAATGAATAATTATTTGATTTAAAAGATATTGATATAGTAAACAATGAAAATATTGATAATTCAAGTAATAGTGAAAATGATAATATTGATAATAATAGTTATTCAGATTCAAATAGTAGTGATGATAATAATAATTATGATATTAAATTATTAACAGAAAAATATTTACTTAATAATGATAGAGAAATATTATAATAATTTTTTCAAATTAGTTTTATTTTTTGTAATTTTTTTGAAGACAGATAATTTTTTTTATAATAATATTAGTAATATACTATAAATATATATTTTTTCTATAGTATATAAATAATAATAAACAATTATAATGAATTTAAAAATACATTTAATTATTTTTTAATATTTTTTTTTATTTCGTTAATTTCGTTAATTTCGTAATTTCAGTTTCAGTTTCAGTTTCAGAAAAATTTTGTCATTTTTAAAAAAAAATGAAATATTTCGAATTTAAAAAATATTTTCATCTAATATCATTAAGTATTACCTTTATTTAAATCAATTTAATGCTTTGATTTACATTATATTCATGTTTAACGATATCATTATAATATTAGTTTATATTTTAAAATTCAAGAATTTAAAAGACCAACAGATCAAATTATACAAGAATATGAAATTTATTGTAATTTGAAAGAAGAGTTTGAAGATGATGAGTTTGATTTAAATATTTATTAAAAAAACAAAATTAGAAGCTTACCAAATTTATCAAGATTGGCTTTAGAATAAATTTAGCTTCTGGTATCTGAGGTAGATGTGAAATGAAGTTTTTTAGCATATACGAATATTCTTAGTGATAGATGACATGCTTTTTCAGAAGATTCAATTACTGCTTTGAATTTTTTGTATTTTAATAATTAAAATTTTGTAATTGTAGTATGATATAATATATTTTAAATAAGTAATTTTCACATTTTTTTAGCATTTTTTGAAAAAAATAAAATAAACAAAACATATTTTATTAAAATTTTTTCGCATATCTTACTATATAAAGCAGGTATAATTTGAGTTTAGCATAGCAGAAAATTGGCCACCCTAAAGGGACCTATGCTAGGAAGAAAAGACAAAATAGAGTTAGTAATATTTGATTGATCACTGTATATGATATATCAAGAGATAGCTGTCCTGAGGTAAATTTGTCCAAGCTAATCAGCAATAATAGAGATAATATATCCCTTTTGAATATACTATTACATAGCTGGAACTTTTATAATAGCATCAATAATTTTAATATATACATTTAAAGAGTGAAGGGTATTTTCTTGTAAATCTATAAAAATATATCTTTCATCAAATGAGAATTCCGTTTCTCTTTTAATCTAATATCATAGCTATATACAGTTAATTCTTTTAATCTAAAATTAAATGAAATTCCCAATGTTAGTTATGTGAAAAATCATAAAACATCATAAATCTTTCTCTTAGATTCAGTTTTATCAACTCAGCATCAATCAATCTAAGATTGTGTATATTTATGTTTGGAATCACATATTGCATAATGATCAGGTTTATTAAAATTATTATCAGATGTATTAGAAGTGGTGGTGGTATTTGACATCCATTTTGTATGAATACTATGATAATTATTGATATTTAATATCATTGCTTTCTCTGCATATTCTGCAAGTATAGCATTGGTAGTTTTAACATGTTCATCAGATATGATAACCTTATATCTTATACTATGTAATTGTATGAGATGTTATAGTTACGCCTAGATCAGAAAGAGTATTTATGGAAGCATTAGAAACACCAATAGAATTTAAGTATATTGTCAAATCTCCTTTTGCATCATTAATAAATTTATTACAAATTCTACAAAGAAAGTAGCATATAAATATGAACTGCTTCTTTGCCTATGCTTATAAACTTTCATTTTTTGAAGAGGGTTAGATGAAAGATATAATTCATCAAAAAAATGCATCTTTCCCCTCCAGTAGGGCAAATATGGGGTTTCTAGGACAGAATTCAAAATAGTACTCAGAAAAGATTCCTGACCACCCACGAATCTATTTTAGCTATACGAAATCTATTATCGAATTTAAATCTCTAGCGTGATTTGACTTAATTCTAGATGATGATATCAAACTTGACTAGGAATTAACTTA